ATGCGGAACATCGCCGCCTCCGGGAGCGCCTCGGCGATGGCGGCCCGGTAGTCGGCCGGGTCGTTGAGGTCCCGGCTCCTCTCCTCGTTCGGCTTGCCCTTGCCCCTCCCGTAGCCGTTCTTCCCTCCTTTGCTGCCACCCCCATTCCCGTGCAACGCGTGCATCAGCTTGTTCCAGGCATGGTGGGATAGCATCCACAAGTACCCAATGAAAGACAACACGAATGTGGGCATGTGCAAGATAAAGCTGCTGCTGCTGCTGCTGCTGCTGCTGCTGCTGCGGTGCGCGCTGCTGTGTACTGCGCTGCTGCTGCTTCCTCCTGCATCCTGAGCCTGAGCCCGGAGATCATGATCAACTTCATGATGAGTAAACTGTGAACCAGTCGTGGTGTAAGATGTCGTAAAGACACACTGTAGGCCGATACGCGGCCTTGTCGAGCTCCGTCTCGCTATTCCAGTCTGCTTCACCCCCGGCAAGCTCGACTGCAGCTGGAATATTGGCGCCGGGGAGCCAGCGGGATCCCAAAAGACCGCGCCCCGCACGCCCAGCTCGCTCCCCCGGCAGAGCAAATCACGCCGCTCTCGAAGAAAATGCCGATGGCCGCCATCATCATGGCCAGACAACTGTTTGGCATGTCGGTCGCCATAACTTCCTTTGCTTCTCCTCATCGTCGCTGACGCCGTCAGCACCTCGCCGCCGCGGGCGGCGCCTGCGGCCCTGGCGCCAGCGGGGGCAGCCGCGGCCGCGGTCGCGGCGGCGGCCGCGGCGACGGCGGCCGCGGAGGCGGCGCGCGCACCAGCGGCCACGCCAGCGGCGCCCTCAAAGGGGGCCGCAGCGGCAACGGCGCGCGCGGCGGCGGCCGCCGCGCCGGCGGCGGTCAGGGTGCCAGCCGCGCCAGCGACAGCGGCGGGGCACGCGGCCCCCACAGCGCAGGCGGCCCCAGCGGCCATGGCGGCCGCAGAGGCCGCCTTGGCCGCGGCCGCGGCGGCGGTGGCGGCGTCAGCGGCCGCCGGCGGCGCGCGCCGGCGGCCGCGGCGGCGGCGCTCGCGGCGGAGGCCGCGGCGGAGGCGCACGCGGCGGCGGCCGCGGGAGCGGCAACGCTGGCGGTATCGGCCGCGCGCGGAGCGCCGGCGGCGCCAGGCCTCCGCAGCGCGGCGGGGCAAGCGGCCAGCGCGGCGCCGGCCGCGTCCGCGGTGTCACTGGCGCTGGCGGCGCAAGCGGCGCCCGAAGCGTCGGGGGTGCTGGCGGCGCGCGCGGCCGCGCAACGGCGGCGAGCCGCGCGCGGCGGTGGGGCCGCCGCGGCGCGGGGAGCGTCGGCGGCGCCAGCGGCGGCCGCAGCGCCCAGGGCGCTGGCGGCGGCGGAGCCAGCGGCTGGGGCGGCAGCAGCCCGGCGCTATCGCCACCTCCGCGCCGCACGCCCCTCGCCGCGGGCAGGGGCGCCCGCCATCGCACCGGGAGAGGGGGGGCCAGGACGGAGCACCCCTTCCACCCCCCTGGCCAGGCCACGCCTGAGGTCGGGGCCGACCTCTGGCCCCGCGGCAGCGGCCGCTGCGGCCCCCTCGAGCCAGAGCGGCTTGAGCCAGAGGGCTACGGACTTGAGCCAAGGCTACGCTACAGTCGCAGCTGGGGTTACTTTTTTGGTCGCGGCCACAAGACAACGGTCAGGTGGCGGAGACACCAGCTGGGGTTACGCGAAGCATCTGAAATGTTCTAAGCCTTCCCCGATGACGCAAAACAAACTATCAGAAGGCGCGAGGGCTTCTGAGAAGTCCCGCTGCCTTCTGAGAAGGCCTTCTCCGTCTCATTTCACCCCTCGCTCGCCGTCAATTGAAGCATCGGCATCTGCTCCCAACGACTTCCCTGGCCTTCCGCCAGCGGAGCCACCCCCGCTCTCCTTCCGCATGCTTCCGCCGAGGAAGAGCTGCCGTCCTCGCGACCCCTCGAGGACGAGGCCCTTCTGGAAGGCCTCAGGCAAGAAAACAGATCTCGCCCTCGTCGGTGCGAGCGTCCAGGAGCAGACACAATATCAGCGACACGCCACCGTGGGAGACCCATCAGCGCGTTGCTGCTGAAGGAGCACAAGGCCTTCGGACAGAAACGAAGGAAATGCTGACAGGGCCACCATCGACAGCGTGCCATTGGTACTCTCTCTCTCCCTCCTGGATTCTCTCGCATGGGTGGGGGCAAAAAGATACCGGTACCGCTACTCCACTTGCCATCGCTCGGACGCCTATTCCCCGTACATGTTTCGGCTTTGTGCGTGTTGTGTGCTTGTGTGCGCGTGTCTTCTCGCAAGATGATCCAAGATGCTCCTCGAGGGACCTGGCCGAGAAAAAACGCACACGTCCGAGCGGTGCCAACTGCTGGAGTGCGCTCTGACCATAGCTTCGAAGGGTTTCTGTCGCAAGATGACCCAAGATGCTCCTCGAGGGCCCTGGCCGAGAAAAAACACACACACACACACGTCCGAGCGAGGCCAAGTCCACAAACATCTCCTGGC